GTTCTGGAAATGTTATTGCAAATACATGAGTATTTTAAATGTTATTGAAATACGTGAATATGAATAAATAATATTTTTATATTCTTTCATATGTTTTTGCCCAGTAAATTTGAGTGGGTCGCCATAAGCTGTGGTCATGAATAGTGGGTCATGATTCTAAAAAGTTTGGGAACCCCTGGATTATACTATAGTGGTACTATACTGGGCATTATACCATCCTTCTTATATTTACTCTTCATTGCAGAAATGGCATATTCAATTTGAGAATCACTAGGGACATCATCTTGTACTGCATCATGCATCTACTTCAACACTGCATATTTTGGGCTTTACTATGCCATTAATTTCACAAAATATTGAAACTAATGATTTCTTATATATATATACACACAACTCCAATCCCCATTTTTTGAAGGTAACAATACTATTATGCCCATTTTTTATGTTTTGTGTCAATACATTAATCAATTGATGATTCTCAGATTCAGTTGATATGTCAAATCATTTGGGATATTTTTGATTAAGTTCTCTCTCATCCAACCTGGACCCATGATTTAGCTTAATCACTACACTTAAAACATCACATTCACAGCCACATCTAGAACATTTCAAGCATGTTTCATTGCTGCATCGTTTTACTTTACATTTACAAGTTAACTTCTCCTTGTTGCCTCTCATGGTCTCAGGTCAGTCACAAGTCCTATGACCCAAACCTTTAAAATACTGCCAAATGTTTTCTTTTTGTCTAATCAAAACAACCCAAACCTTTCTGGAACGACTTTTTTGGATCCACATCAAGATGCCTCATGTGGCAGGAGTTAATAACAATAATATTCATATGAAGAATTAGTATGATGACTACCAAGTAATAAATATCCCAGTTTTTTATGACAATCCTATTACTGACAATCTCCAAGATATCCATACTGTATTAAAAGTTATAGTATGAAAACTATAACAAGCATAAAATGGTTATGAGGTCAGTCCCTGTAACAAAGTCCACAGTGAGAGAGTTAAAACTGCTGATATCTATTTACAAGAATAAGAACATGTCCACAGTACAGAAATCTCCAGAAATGATTGCTGAAGAGCAAGTGAATAGGTACATGACCATTCACTCTCTGTATCTACAAGACAACCCACTGAGATTCTGGGTAGGTAATGCTCATTTGTACTCACAACTTAGTAGAGTTGCAGTTAAATATCTAGCAATTGTGGGTCTTTAATCGGAATGCCAGGTGAGCCTCATTAGATCCAGAAAATTATAACATATGAACCTTCCTTAGCTGCTATATTTAACATTGTTAACAGCTGACTTTTTGTGAAAACTAGACATTAAATCTTTTATCAGACTGATGTTAAATTATTTTAATTGAGAATTTAAGCATTATGATATTCAAGTTATGTTTCTACTTTCTAATGTACAAGTTGTTATGTTTCTTAGTTTATGTAATTTGAAATAAATTATAAAAGTTCTTTTTCTACATGGTGTTATTCTGTGTATGTTTTATGTTTGTAACATCAGATACAACACCAAAGGCCTCAACACTGTCGTGAACATGCTTATAAACCTGTAAAACAATACATCCTGAATTGTCTAGAATAACAAGCATGGAAAAGTGTACAACCAGCAAAAGGTTACTGATAAGGGAATAAATATTTCATTGTTTTTGAATTTTAAATAATGCAGTTATCTTGCATGTATTACACATTTTCATGTACAAAGTTTAGAATTAAAGAAGTAACTTAATTCTAAATTATTGTGCCTGAAATCTGAAGACAAGGTTTGCTCTAGTTTTTGACATTTTTTGCCACTTGATAAAATATTTTAGAATCATAATTTATTTTCAGAGATTTATTTAGTGCAATTCATGAAGCAAAAAAAAATACATATTCAATTCTACACAACTGTAGATAGTTTTGCTTGTAAACAAAAGAACACATTCATCACTTTTTTTTAGAATTTTTCAGCCAATCTCAAGGAAATCCTTTATTTCTGCCTATCATTCCTTGACAATGTATAATCCATTTCTTTATTTTCGAGCACTTTCCTTAGTTTTGTACAGACCTTAGATCTGGTTGAAATCTTATGGTACCTAACCACGACATTTGATCATTTACAGCTATAAAGAAAGTTTAAATATATTTGGATACTATGGACAGAGAAAGATAAGGACTATCATGTAATAGTAAATATATAGAATTAATTTTTTTATGGTTTCTGCCCTTTTAGTTCCTGTCATTTGTGAACCATGACAGTGTTTGCATGTTTGAAAGCTACAGAAATTTTGTTCACTGAGAAAAGGTCAGAAAACTTGGGATAAGGTAAGCTTATACATTTTATAGACTGGTTAAGAAAGAAAACTTTATTACAAGTTTAAGACAATAACAAATGTACAATGTTCAGAGAAGGTTTTGTGATCATCAGGTAGAAGTAGTTTACCTAGACACAGGAAGATATATATATATATATACACAACATGAAACTAAGAAGTCACACAACCAGAGATTTGTTAAGGGTTTAATAAGGGTATCTTGTTGTTGTCTGGTTTAAAATTATGGTGTTTTACTTTTTGATAGATATAATATGATTTTATTGAGTTGTAACAATTGTTAACATGAGTCTTTTTGTATTATGTTAACTAAATAAGGTTTGTTAAGTTTACTGTTTGGCAAAATGGCAAGTATGGTAGGCAAGTGCAAAATATTGTGGTGACTGAAATCTTACTGAATATTATTTTTTTTATGTTTGTTATTCAGACAATGTTTTATGATGATTTTTTTAAAAATAAAACAATATTAATCTTATTGGTGAATGGTGGTAGTAACAGTTAAATATGTCTCCAACATTTTACTTACAGTAGAATATTGCAAGATTACTACATATTTTAAAAAGAAACATAATGGTGACCACATGGTGATGTTTAACTGACATTAGTGATTCATTTGGCAAGTATTATAATCAATTAATGAGCACATCAATTAACTGATTAGTCAATTCCATTAATCGTCCACCTCCAAATGCATTTCAACTGTTTAAAGTAATAAAATTATGATGTGTAGAAAAACATAATCTAATAATTTAGTAAATAAGTCACTGGTCCACAATATATTCATGTTAGTAAAAAAAACCTTACTTTATGCAAAAACTTTGAATATATAATATACTCATGCTGTTAACCAAAAGATTAGATATAAAGGTTAAGCTTAGAACTATGCACTTTCATAGTCTTTATAGGCTCAGAACTGTAGGTCCATTACAGATGTAACAAAAACAAATTGTTACAATCAAGCATTTAGATGCTCAGAATTCAGATTCATTTGTTTTAATTTTTAAAGTACTCTGGTCTGAACGAAATAATAACCTAATTACATAAAATATAAAACAGTCAAAATAATTATGACTATATAGCAATCTTAAAAACAGCACAGAGGTTTTATTATCCAAAAGAGGGTGTGTGTGAGTGAGAATATTGTAACTTTTTCAAAACTTTTCATTATTAATAGTGATTTTCTCAAAGTTTTTTGGTATTTTTTTTAAAGCATTATTGTATGGGGATGAATTCAAACCCTTAAACATCTACCATAGTACACTTCCCTCTAAGTGAAACACTAGTAAAAATCAATGATACCCAAGTTAAAACACCATGCTTACAAAGTTAAATTATATAAATTAAACTTACTTCATACTCAGATGGGAATCGTGTCAGCATGACTCCATCTTTATGACTGTCCAATACCTAAAGAAACAACAAAACACAAGTCATGGAAACATTGAAATCATGCTTATCATAGTTAATACACTAGCTTGAATAAGCTGGTATGATGTAACAAAAAAAAAAATTTACTTGTTAGAGGCATATTAAAACAATCTACTGTCGACTGCTTATGAAATTCCACTAATCAGTAGATAGAGATTTGTTTTATTAAGATTGGTAACTTTATCACATCAGTAGTAATAGATGTATTATATCTTTGTGATGCTATCACAAAGACCACATGAATTTTGGTTGGTAGCTGACTGTATCGTCAAGAAAAAAAGAAACATTACAATGTGAGCTGCTGAATCTACATATATAAACCATAGTTATAATACATAGCAAGAATTACAATGTAGGACTTCTACATTTCTGCTTACATCTCAACATTTCTTTATTAGTTTGTCAGCCAAAAGCCCACCCAGGGTCCTAATACTAGAGTCTGATTATATAAGCCAAACCAATAATAGATGTAAAAAACAATTAATGTTTATTATATAGTAAAAAACCTTGTTATTTGCAATCAGTGTTTAGGAGTTTCTGTTCTAAATAGGCAGAAACCATCCAATCAGAATTTAAAGAATTAGATGGACTAGTACTAAAAACATTTTTGGTAATAACAGAAAAATTCACAAGGAAAAAATTACAATATTATAGTATCATTTTCATATTTATTTTACCTTATATATTAATAATATACTATGCCCTTTAACCCTATCGGCCCTGGTGCACTTTGCTGCGCATGACACAAAATTTTAGTATCTTAGATTCAAAATTTTATTAAACTACTTTTTGTTTATGTTATACCAATTAGAATAGCATACAATCTTAGCTAATAATCCATATTTTAATAGTATACATGTTTTAACTTCTTAATTCTACAAGGAAATATATAAAAAAATTCTGAATTTCCACTAGTGTGACACACATGACACATTTTGTCTTAGCAGGTCATCATCCCTATTTTATCCATCACCCCTCAAAAATGTACAAGATTAAACGTAAAATATTCTCTATAAAATCATTATTGCTTAATCAGACCAAAATTTTATAGCCTTCAATTTTGTTTGGTTACAGAGCTATCAAATAGAAAATCAGACCCCTCCTGCCACATCCACTTGTCACATCCTTTCTTTCACAATTCATTGATAGTTCACTCTTAAGTTTCTTTATATATATATATATATATATATATATATAT